GACATCTGGCCTTTGCTTGATATAATCTCCTGTATGACAGGAAGCCGACGGCTCATTTCTCTATTTAACTTTGAGCCACGCTTTTGAATGCTGCATCACTAACAGCTGCTGATATAAGGCATCTTCTTCTTCTTCTGGTCGGCAGACTGGGGAATCAAAGCTCAGATTGGAAATAACAAACCTGAACAAATGTGGGGGAACTGAAAGGGTTCCAATCCAGTAATGATCCTTGGTGCCCAAACCTACTAGTAGCTGTTGAAGGCTTGAAAGATCATTTCTATTCTCTCACAGGGATCTTTAATGCACTGTTTATATGTCTTTAAGATATTGTTCAGTTGGTGTATATTCAGCTACTGAGGCTTTTTTCCTCTACTGAGCACCTAGATCTAACTTTCAGACTTAGTAATAATATATATATTTTTTTTCAAAACAAAAATACAAAACAAAAAGAAATGTCAAACAATTTTTTTGTTGTTCAAAGTCAAACTTGTCCCTTAAAGCTTGAATATGTTGTACTTGATTTATTTATCTATATTTTATACACCTGAGTTTTTTTTTTTTTTTTAAACATTTCATAACCACTCATGGTATACATGAATGGTCTTATCAAACCTACAGTAAGACAGGAGATGTGCTACAGCAAACCTTTATTGACGCTAACAGTCAACAGTGTACTTGGCAGGTTTTAAAATGACCCACCCCCAGCCTGCCCCACTCGCCCTCTGCAGCGTCTCTCCCTGTTTACAACAAAACTATTCTGCATGAAAGTGGAGTTAGATCCTGAGTCACTTAATTCCCCCCGATCTCTGTTATTGTTTCTACGTTTCATGTAATTTATGGTAGATATTGATTTAATCATCAGTTTATGTAGCTTTCTTAAGGTTAGATCCACAAACAGAATAGCATCAAACATATGTTGCTTTCAGAATTTGTTGATTAAATGATCAAAAACAGGAAGGATTGGCTGCCACTGGTCAGGCAAGAACAGCATTAATCAGGTCAGCAGCTTACATAAGCATCAGGGGCGGATCCAGGATTTTTCAAAGGGGGGTGCGCACCTAAGGGTCATAGGGTCACGGGGTCACAGGTCAACACAATGTGAGGCTAAAAGACCAAAGAATACCATCTTCACTCTTTCACACTACCCTAATTATTCATCCAAGGGTTTTTAATTTATAATTTTAATGGATGAACATAAGAAAAAATAGCATGATTACATTATTGTAATTGTAAAAAGGATCTCTCGGTTTTTAAAGCATGCACAACGTTAAAAGGTAGTTTAAAGAAAAAAATTATCCTTATCAACAATTAATCAAACAAGGAGTTTCTTTATTTCCAGAAATTATATTTACACAGAACATGAATTAAAAAAAACCCAAGGACTTGGGTTCAAGTATGGTTCAAGTAAGACAAAGGAGATTTGAATATATTTTAACAAGATAAACTGTTGAAAAAAAAAAAAAGTTAAACCACACAAAGAATATTGTTCTCTACTACAAACTTTAAGATGATAATGGGTTTACAAATGTCAACCTTCTGGGATGCTTCTGGGCAAATATGTCTATGATTTTGTTGATGTCTAACTGAATGTCCTTGTGCACATACAAAAGTAGCAAAGCCACAAACCTTTCCTGTCCCATTGTTGACCTCAGCAAAGTTTTCACTGGATTAAGCCCCGAGTTAGCACGTTCCACAGAAGCACTGGTAACAGGAATGACTGACAGAAGGTGAAGAATCATATAAATGTATGGGTAGCACTTCATATTTGTCATCTTTAGAATTTCAGGGAGAGAGCGGGGTTTTTCCACTGATGATGACCACTTTGTGTGCCACAACTTCACTTCCTGCCTGAATGTTGATCCTGACGGTAGATCATCTTTATATGATGTAAAAATGATAAAAAGTCATACTTGTCCAGCCAGTCCCTCTGGCATGTTATTTTGGTCTCCCTACTGGCTCTTTGGTTGTCTTTAAATTCTCTGGCAGGGAAATCGAAAGATTTGGGTGGTTTTCTGGTCTGAAGAAGCTGAAATTTTCTAGAGTCGTCCATTTCACTAATCTGGTCCTTGGCCTTTGATATATCTGTAATAACATTGATATTTACATAGTCAATTTTGTATGGGTGCTGGTGGAGTTTTATTATGAAATGTAAAATTTCAAGATTAAGCAAAAAAGTCAATCGTGTAAAACAAAAACAAAATTAGTTGTTTTGACATAAAATTGACAAAAAATACAACTATTACTAACGTATGTCTCAAGTTGTTTGGGGCAAATCCGCTTGGTTGAGCGCCGGCTCTTCAGTTGTCTTTACATCGAAACACGGTCCTTGTTGTTCATCTGGAAAAGAAAATAATTTTTGTGATGAGGTGAACCTTGTAATCTCAGGAGGAGCCACAAAACAATTTAATGTTGTGTTTTTATCATAAATTATTAAATTCACTGAACAGATATCACCAGGTGCACAAAACTGAATATACTTAAATGTAAATTGTATTTTTATTGTAAAATATTAAATGCACTGAAAACAAATAACACCAGATTTGTAGTTATCATATCACAATGTTTTTTTTATTTATTTATTCCTTTATTTAACCAGGAAAAGTCCCATTGAGATTAACAATCTCTTTTTCAAGGGAGTCCTGGCCAAGACAGCGGCAAAAGATTACATTACAATTTACAATTACATCTATCTATAATTAGAAATTCATAAAACAGTTCCGGTACAAACCATAGATCTCATTTATGGTTTGTAACTGTTTTATGAATTTCTAATGTTAACAAGACTCCCTTAGACTCCAAGCATGTGCTTAGAGCATTCATTGATTTGGATCCTTACCAATTGATAAAAGTTAGTAATGTTTTCATAAAGGATACCATTCTTATTTTTAACAGTACAACACATGTGGTACAGGTTTAGACCCAAAAATACACACTACAAAATAACTATTGTATGCATGTCAATGGCAACTAATGTTGCTTATTTTTGTTAATTGTACACTCTTTTTATTACTTATCAAACACTGCAACTTTCCCGTTACTGGTTAAAGTATTCCTACAATTGCATTACTTTGCAACTTTAAACAACTTGTTTATCAACAATCAACAATGTTGATCATGTTTTCTCATTATCAACATTTTCTAGCAAGCATCATCTTTTATCTGTGTGTCTCCAATATCTGAACGTTCATACAGGTCAACGCTGTGGTCATTTTTTTTGGTAGTTGTGCCAGGTCCACTGAATAATAGAAAACAAGATATAAACATTTCAATCTGTGTTATTTAGATCATAGACATAAGCCTATAGAAAATAAATAAAGTGTTTTCTACTTACCCTTCTGTTGGATTGGACCAGAATCTTAAAAGAGATGGATGTCTGGTTTTCTTGTTTGGCCTTAAATCTTCCAGGTCTCCTCATGCTCGCAACGACGCCATTGTGGTATGGCAAGCCGATTGGGCCAATAATCGTCCGTACAATAACGCGCAGTTCCAACCCGTATTTTACGCAAGCGCGCGGTTTTTTCGTCACCGTGCGTTCTGGCTGGAAACGCGCGCTCGCGTAAAAATACGGGTTGGAACTGCGTGTTATTGTACGGACGATTATTGGCCCAATCGGCGTGCCATAGCCCAAAGGGGGGTGCGCGCGCCCCCGCCTGAATCCGCGCCTGAGCATAGTAACTTTGGAGGAGCTGCAGAGATTCACAGCTCAGGCAGGACCATCATCTCTAAATCAGCTCTCCTCAAACCTGGCCGCTAGTAAAGATAGGATGTTGAATCCTTTTTCCACAACCCATGAAGAGCAAACATGTGGACATGAGCCTCCAGTCAAGAGCAGGTCAAGCACTACTTCATCACCATTACACAGTAGTGGCAGCATCATGCTCTGGAGATGGTTAACGGTAGACCTACATACTTTACAGCAGATGGAAGACACCTTAGAGGCTGAAAAAGATTTGCCTTTGGTGGAAGCAGGTTTGTTTTAGCGGGATGGCAGCCATAAATCCAATCTATATATGGAAGCACCAGTCAACGTCTACACATACATATTTCATCAGGTTCTATTTGCATGTTTTCTAAGCCAAAACAAGGCTTTGTTTTTGGTCCACTCTATAAAGCCTGGAACTCAACAATATTTCTGACATTTTTTATTGAAAAAGCTTCCTGGATGGGAAGAGAAATGTCTTCAAACTTGGAAATAAAGTCTAGTGGATTGATTTTGTACTTTTTTGGAATATTTTGGAAGATTTTAGAGTTGGAAGTTTATAGATGATCTCCTACTATCTTCCTAAACTTGAGCTTTTTTGCAAAGACAACAGACGAAAAAACTTTAGGGTTCAAATGTCATATATGCTCCATTTTAAGGAATTTCAAAGTCGCCTTTAGGCAAATATCTGATGAAGTAAGTAAGTTAAACACTTCATAGGTTTTAGTTTGTTTCTTATGAAATATAGTTGCTTTCCCTGTCTGGATGCTGCCAATTTCATGAGCTATCACACCACCTCTGAAGGCTGTAACAAGTCCAGACCTCTAATGGCCAATAAATAGGTTTTAGCAATTAGAGGTTAGCTTTTACAGCTAAATGTTGTTACCCTGCACGGATTAGCTGCTAAAAGAGCCACTTGGTTTCAACTTAGTGCTGAAATCATGGCTCTCTCCCTCACAGCAATGCTCCATAAAGGTTTGTTTACGGTGCAGGAACAGCACAGCTAAGGGAGCTGCTTCCTGGAGGACATCTTTCTCTGTCCATTTTTCTGCCGTGAATTGTTTTCACTTTTCAGGAGGGGGCCTCATGAGGATAACTTAGAGATGTATAGATCAAACGGAATACAGCTCTGTGTATAATTATGATGAGGTAGAAGCTTTGGGGCATAGAAAGTCAGAAAGGTAGATTCTAGGCCCTGATATTTATTGTTTTCCTTCCTCTTAACAGTCATTCTAGTTTGTCTTGTTTGATCACATTAAGTCAAAAACCTTTCCCTGTTCTGTGTATTCTTGTCTCTTAGCTTGTGATAAATGGACAGTCCTTCCTAGACCAGGGCTGCACAGGGACGTCAACCGCTTTGGCCACTCTGCTGTCGTCAGCAATGGGTGAGTCTCTCTCTGACCTTCATATAACTTTTACTTTTCAACTTTAAAATTTGCTCAACCCTCTTTGTGAGGTCCTCAAACTTTTCCAGGTACCTTCTGAGATTAGTTGGGTTTCACTGTTGGTGGATCGATCCCAGGCAGTAAATGTTATATGGCAGCCGGAGATGCTGCTCCAGCGTCTCACTAACTTTCTCTGCATTCATTAAGGCTTTGGTGGGCTTACTGTTCACTACTGACTCATTTTTAGCCCTGCTGCAGCTTCTCTTGTCATTCCCATGGAAAAAACAGATTTTGATCATATTTTTTGGCTTAGCATTCATATTGCAACATCAGTCTCTTTGTGATTAAAATCGACCTCCTTAGTGTAGGTTTAAAAGCAAAGTCTCTATAAATGTCAGCTCTTCCTATAAAAGCTGCTTCAATGAATCCATCAGAATGTGGACAGCTGTTTCTTCCTGTCGTTTGAAATGATGCCCTGATCCTTTAACACCTCACACCCTCTGAAAAGTCGGCAATGGCTACAGAAATGTCAGCTTTTAACTCCAGAACGCTGCTGGCTTCAAACCACAATGTTTATTTTGATTTTAAAGGTCTTTTTGCTTCCTTTTAAAGATTGAAGTATTATCTGTGTGGACATTTCTCCAGTTTAAGACTTCTCCTGTTTCTTCATCCTTGTATTATGTGGTTTGTTCAGCTCCATGTACGTCTTTGGAGGCTTTTCGGGTCTGCTTCTGAACGACGTGCTGTCCTACACCCCGCCGTCCTGCCGGGCCTACTCATCCCCGTCTGCTTGTTTAGCAGCCGGGCCTGGAGTTCGCTGCCACTGGGTGGAAAGCAGATGCCTCCCCTGGGAATCCAAACAGCATGATCCCATCGTTCCGGCCCCTTTTTGCCCTGCACCACCCGGTAGGCCCCGCCGACATTTAAAACAGCTTACTGCTTCTGTTCTGTTCCCAAAAATGGAAGACCCTGCAATCCAAGATGAGCTTCGCTCCCAGAAGACTAATTGTTTCATGATGACTGTAATTATGTTGAAAGCTTTTGATTTTCAACTTTGTTTGCAGAATGTAATTAAGCAAACAGCAGGTCAACAATGTTCCAATTAGCTCCTTTTCAACCAGTTAGGATAAAGCAGAACCAGATGGAGCTGCAGCAGCTGCTCTTTCTGGACTAATCCCTCCACCTCACTGCAGGTTTTGATATAAAAAAAAAATGAGAAAGGCAATCTTACAATTTATTTGGAAACATGAAAAAGTCAAAGTCTGCAGTAAAACCTGTAGCAATAAATTCTTTGGTCACTAGAGATTGACTGATGCAGGTTTTTAAGGCAGAGACCGATTATTTTGACGAGAGTGTAACCGATCCATATGTGTAGGAGGGACCTGGGGTTTATTTTTATATCTGCATTTACATGAAAAAGACTAAATAAAAACAACAAATGTAATTTCAATCAAAAGGAAATATTACATTGGCCGTACCATGTAGAGGGGGGTCTCTATTGGTCACCATGGTGACAGAGTTTGTTTCATCTACATGAAGCATGAGTGGGAGTTTCGGAGCAGGCTGTGTGTGATGGTGCAAGGTGTCAGGCAGAGGTGGAGCAAACGATATTTAACCTACACTAACTTTTCTCATTGTCCTGCAAAAAAGAGTTAGAACACTGATTTCAACTCCTGTTGCTTGGTCCTATAGCCTTTTTATTTCTTTAAAGCTTTAAATTGGAAGATGAAAAAAGAAAAAAATAGCTCCCAAGATAATTTACCATCAGGTGAAAGGAATGATTCATAAGGAGTTTGAATTGTTTCTGTTTTATAAACTTTAAACTAGGGCTGGGTAATTAATTGCTTTTGCAATATAATCACAATTTAGAAAAATGCTATTTTTAATTGCAGAGGCATTCCATTTTTGGTCCCAATACATTTAACAAGATTAACACACTAAATTTCTCCCTGGAGCCCTTTAGGTGGTGGGAAATGATTAAAATGGGTATGCTGTCGCACAAAAGGAAACAAAGAGGTGAAGCTATCACCTAAATCTATGCATTGTAAGAACTAAGATCTTTTTCATGCAAATGTTACGGTAAAGTCCTGCAACACTGGATTCTGGACAAGCAGAATTTCAAGGTGATAAAAAACCTGAAACCCTGAAGGAAATCATCAACATGCTTCGATTAGTGCAAAGAAAATCGCAATTAAATCACAATATTGGATGAAAGTAATCGTAATTTTGATTTTAGGGAAAATCGTTCAACCCTACTTTACACTAGAGCGGTGGGTCTAACTAATACAAAATAAAGGGAATTTTCTAGAACGGTCCTCTCACTGTAAATCTATGTCTTTTGCTGTTGCAGATGTGTTGTTCTGCTGTTTATCAACTTTCAGCTGTAAATGAAATTGTAATAAATAGTTTTAGGGGCCAAAAAGTAACAAACTAACCTGCTGTTTTAGATGAAAATGACTGTAGTCTGTTAAAATGGTGAGGATGTGTTGCTCTGTCTGCAGAAAGCACAGATGAACAGTGCATCCACTTCTCCGACTGCGCCAGCTGCACGGCCAACAGCCGGGGCTGTCAGTGGTGCGAGGACAGGAAGTGCATCTCTGCCTTCAGTAACTGCACCGTGGTAGGTACACTCCACACACCAACATCGGTGCAAACCTTCCTGTCTTATAGAAAATCCTGCTGTACCTTTTAAAAGTAGCGATGGAAGGAATGCAAACAAGAAATTCAAAAAATACTTTAAACACAGATTAAATATTCTGATTCTTAAGTTGCTTTGTTCGTATTTCTTTTTGCTGTTTTTTCTGATTTGAATCTGAACAATACTGTGTGTGTTTCTGCTTGTCTCTCTCTGTTTGTTTGGCTCCATCTAAATATGAATCCATGAATGAATGTGATTCTGTGTGTAGCTGACTCTGGAGCTGGCCCAGCAGCATGGCGGCGCTCTGTCTCTGTCTCCTCCTCCATCCATGTTGTCTGAACATCAGCTCAGCTTGTGGAAACACGGAGCGCGAAGGAGGGGACATGTGTGTACTGTTAAGGATATTTAACTAGTCCTGTCAGGCTTTTTAAAATGGGTGGAGGTAACAGGGCGTTCAGCTTGGGGCCCCAAGCAGCTGCTGTTATATTGTACAGTAGTAGCCATTCAACATGTCCCCTCTTTCCCTGATGGGTCCTTGGCTTGGCCCTCTCCTGGTCAGACCCTGTAATTCAGTGAAAGGGTGGAGTCAGAGTAAAAAAATATATGCAAGAGGGGGGTCACTCCAATGGCTTGAAGTTGGAGGGGATTATGCTGGGATTTGGAAGGAAGTGGGCTGTGATTGGGCTGTGGTTTGACTGGGAACGGCCATTTTGAATGGCTGCTACTGTAGCTCTGTTTGTAGCAGCCTGCAGAATTTTAGTTAGTTTCATCCAACTGAGGTATTTATATTTTTTTATTTCATTTCCAGCAATAATAGATCAAATGTATGCTATATGGTAATAAATGGTTATTAGGAAAATGATTTAATATTTATCCTTTTTAAAAGAATATGGCAGCTTGAATTAGGATTGCAAACCAGCATCTGAAAGAAACACGTAACCCCTCAGAAATATAAGAACAAGCACCACCATAGCTGGGGAAATCAAACATTTCTGCACAAATATCTCCTAAATCTCCTAAAGGTCCTAAATTTATCATTTAAGTTTTATTGAACCTGAATAAGTTGTTCCCTTCTTGTTGATTCTGCACAGTTTCTATCTTAGTTAAATAACCTGCTGCTGTCATTTTGCACATCTCTAAAGTGTTGCTGCTATTTTCAAATATCCATGACTGTAAAAATGTCCATAGCTGTATATTGATTATTTAATCTACAGTTTTATATTGTTAAAACACTTTACGGTATTTTATTGTTTATATTTTAACTCTTCACTAGTATGTTGTTCTTATCCATTTTTCTAAGGTGTGACTATTTTATTCAATAATCTGTTTGCTGCTGCAAACACCACAATTTCCCATTGTGGGACAATAAAGGGATTTTTTTATTCTATTCTATTCTATTCTATTCCATTGACTTTGGTCATAAACACTTTAGTCCAACCAAAGCCAAAGCAGGCCTTAGCGGGGCCTTTTGTATTAAGCTATTTACAGATGAAAGTGTTTAGACTAGATAAAGCAGAGCTGTACAGCATTATTACATCCTAAAGCCCGACAGATCATTTCCTTCATTTGCTTCTGCTAACGTTTCTCTGCGAACTGCTGCTCCGTTCTAACAAAACAAAAACACTTCAGATTATATCGAAATAGATTTAGATCCCGGTAAAGACCGTCAGATACTTATTTTAACGTTGAGTGAATACAGTCATCACTTTGACACCTTCAATATTAAACAAAAATAATTAGCTTTTTGTTTCTGGAGCTTTTTATTTCTTACTCTGTGAACTGAGACAGTGGCAACTTCTAGAACGAATCCTTCAATAAAACCTTCATCTCAGTATAAAATGCTCTTATTGATTTTATTTTTCGCTCTGCATGCTCTGTTTGACTTCTCATTAACTACGCCGATCACTCTTTATTTATTTTTCAGTCTTTGTGGCACATTGTATTGATTTCTCCAGGTTTATTGCATTTGCTTGAAATTGAGAAAAAAACAACAGCTTTAGAGCAAACTAATATTGTTTCCTCATATCGTCTCTGTGTGTGTTTGTGTGAAGTCGGTGAGAGAATCATCCAGATGCAAACGCAGGGAGGAGCAGGAGTGTTTCCGACGGGCCAACTGCAGGAGCTGCTCCCAGAACAGCAACTGTCAGTGGGAGGCGCAGCAGCAGGAGTGCCAGGCGCTGCCCGGTGAGCAGACGTTTCAACACTTTTCATCCACAGCTGATGGGCAGCTGATGCTAAAGGAAGCTTACTGTAAATTCATAGACTTTCATTCGCTAAAGCTGATCAATTAAATGTTGCGTAAAGTAAATTCCTCTGATCATCATTGAGTATGAAACATTTTTTCATCCTTTACAAAATGTAATCAGTTTTTGCTTCTTGGCACCATTTTATGGTTCATGTTATATAAACAGAACCCGTCAGACTGCATGAAGCAGGCTAAAAGTTCTCCATCCAAACAAAGTCAATAGTGAAATAACCCAACTACAGCATAGTCTCCCTTAGCTCTCTATTGTGCAGATATTTTATATCTAAGGGAAACATATTCCAGGACATTACAAATTTTTTTTTTTTTTTTTTTAGCTTTTTTTTCCTATTTACTCTCTTTTATCTTCAACGATATCTTGCTTTGTCTCGTCGTACTCTATATAAGCTACTGGAACCAGAATTTCCCAGAAGGACTAATCCCGGCGGATTAATAAAGCTGAGTCTAAGTCTCTAAGTCTAAGTGAGACACAGAAGAGAAACAGTCTGTAACTGTGATAAGCCTTGCCAAGCAGTTTCTCAGGCTTTGGCTCTGGATCATTGCAGTGAGTAACTGTATCAACAAGCAGGAGTGGAGCTCTCCACCAACAATGGTCCTCTGAACATCTACAAACATTTAGGGACTTTAAATATCACCCAGATTTGAAAAGACCTCCCTGGGATTTAACAGAAATTTTACCAAAGTGATTTATTTTTCCAGGGACACAACTTTTAGAGAGCCCTGGGATTGAGGGGTGGGGTTTTGAGCAGTGATGATTGGTTGATCCTTTCTACGCTTCCCTGACATATTTACAGTCCTGCATGTTGTCGTTTTCTGCTTTTTTTAAGATTTATATTGAAGCACACTTTTTGTTATTATGAATCAACCAAAGGTAAAATATGTCAGCTAAGTGTTCAAATCATGTTTATTGAAAGAAATGGTGTGATTTTCCATCAGGCTTTCCTCGTTAGGCTCTTATTCCACTAACTGGACTGGAGATGCAGCACCAGTTCATATCCAGTTAGTCTGATTTAATGACATTTTGCGAGCTCCTTGGAGCAATAGAATCAGAAATCTAAAAAATCTTATTCAAAAAAAAAAAAAACTCCAAGTGTTGAAATTCAGGGACATTTAGTAAAAAACAAATTCTCAATTAGGGAAATAATAATTTTGTGGGAAGTTTATCTCACTGTCAATTACCATACAAACATATCACTGATATTTTAACTGGGAGAATAAATGGATCCTCTCTGAACATGATGCCCACAATAGAAACAGGTTTTAAAGTCCAGGATAAAGCCCTCTGGGATTTGAAGAGAGAACATTTTTAAATCGAAGCTTTCTAAATGCAGTGTTTGGTAAATGGATCTGTTGCCATTTAAGAAATCTTTAGCCATAGTCAGGGCCAGTTATTTCCACCGGTAAACACATGTGCGTTTCTTGTGTTTCATAATATTAGATTGTGTAGAAAGCAGTTAGTCTTTCTTGCACCATGGAGTCTGGGACAGACTCTATGCACTCGTGACTTGTTGCCTCTGGAATCTGCATTTGTAAACAGAACCTAACAGCATCATTTAGTATGAAACCTCTGGATGGGTCATTGACTTCACAAACCAAATGAAAGTGTCTTTGTGTGTGGATTCATTAGTGCGACGCTCTGCTCTCTCCTGTAATTCCACCTGGAGATGCATTTGCTTGTAAAAGTGGTGGAGTTTGGGGGGGCGTTGGGAGGTAGCTCCACCATCTTGGCAGCTCTGGCCTTTTCTGTAGAGACACTGTTGTGAAAAATGATTCTAAATGATCCCATGTTTTCAGCTCTGCTTTTATTTTTGGACTGCTGTTTTTTCCCTCCTCTCATCCATCTTTCCCCCTCCAGTTTTGGTCAGTTTTTTTACTATTTGCTTAGAAAACAGAGAAAAAAGGGAAGATATTTTCCTCCCTGATGCTTAAAAGGTTGGTGATGGAAATGATTATGACGTTTTCCTCCTTTTATCTTATTTAACACTGTCTTTGCTTTTTATACTGTTTTCCAACATGCCTCATTGACCTTTATGAGACCATGGACATCATATGCGTGTTTTATCAGGGCGTAAATATGCTACTGGAGCACAAATGAAAGACGAAACTGACAAGAAGCTCCAGGCGAGAACTTGCAAAGAATCCCTGCTCAGAACAGCCAGTCCTGAGGAACTGCAGGGTCTTAACACTGAGGTCTCGCTATTCGATCATCGGCTCATTTGCAACCAGAAATACATTCCAAGCACAATAAAAGATGAAAATAGAATACATTTCTACCCTGAAATAATTAAAGTTATTAAATTCTCCCTGTGTCACGTGGGTTCACTCTGGGTACTCCGGCTTCCTCCCACAGTCTAAAAACATGACTGTGTGCTTAATTGGTGTCTCTTAATTGTCCATAGGTGTGAGTGTGTGTTGCCCTGCCAACTGGCGACCTGTCCATGGTGGAATTCACTATTTTACAATAGACTGCTGGAGAGAGGCACCAGCCCCACCGTGACCCTGACAGATAAGCGGGAGAAGATGGATGGAACTTTTTTACATTCTTTATATTAAAATGTTTATCTGATGTCATCACTGGACATTCTCAGTCTGCTGAAACATGACCAGACTGTTTTTTTTGTAGTTTTGTCGTTCTTTAGATCATACACTGTTCTATGAAGGTAGAATGAAATACAAACTTAAAACTAAACTTCAATTATTTACAAATACAAAGCTGGAAAATGAGCTGGCAGAAATGGGACAAGGATTGTGTTCCCAGGACATGTCCGATACAGAGAAGTCATTTAAAAAAAAAGTAGGTAAACACATTTATTTTCTCAGCAAAGTCATTATTAACCTTTTCCTAATGCAGTTCAGTGTGTTTTTTATTATTACAGAGAGAAATAATTAATTTTGACCCTAATTTTAAAATGTGCAGCGTAAACACGATATACTGATGGTACAGATCATGTTAGTGGTTTGGATGGGGGTAGTGACATAGGTTGTAGTCACCTTTTGGTGATCTCTGCAGGTCTCCACAGATGGCGCACCAGCCTGAGAAATTATTTATACTCTAGTCTGAGGCTAGTACAGTTTCCTTTAGAAATAAAAGGGGCCCTTTACCCAACATCCTCAGTAGCAGTGGGAGATGCTTTACACACACCAAAAACTGCCGTTTCCTGTTGAAAACATTATTTCTTATGAACTTGGACTCAGAGTAAAATCATCAGGAGGAAACCACCTTTTGGCCTCTTTGTAAATTATATAAAAATCTCAAACTTGAGATTGTAATTAATGAGTACTTTCTGTTTGTAGTGTTTCTCTATCTGTTAGTCTATTACCTGTTGAACACAGCACTGTGGGAAGGTTACTGTTGGCTCCATTCAATGCTTGGAGTATAAACTCTCTCAGCTTCAACATCAGGTGAAAACAGCCCTAAGGCAACCATCTAGACTCTGTTTCTTTTTTTTGTAAACTCGTCCAGTGACGCCGTAGCATTGTGCGAAACGAAGGCTATGACTCCTGAGCATGCAGACTCACATGTGGGAGCCTTAATCAGGATCTGAAGCATTTGAATGTTTTATGGCTAAAGTAATAATGATCACAGCTTGTTGTTTCTCTGTGTGCAGGCCAGATGTGTGGGGACGGCTGGTACCATGTCGGGGAGGCCTGTTTGCGGATCAACACCAGCAGGGAGAGCTACGACAACGCTCAGCACTACTGCAAAAACCTGGGAGGAAATATAGCCTCTCTGCTCACAGACAATCAAGTCAGCTTTGTTCTGGAGGAGCTGCAAAAATATCAGCTGGAAAACCAGGTGGGCGGTCTGCCTAACATCACACAGTGCTGATTTTTACATTTGGGAGCTTATCATTTCCTGATAATCTGAGGAAACATTCAGCTTCATTCTAATCTGGCCAGTATATTGGGCAAAGTTTCCCAACACATAAAAGCTATTTAATTTTTTTCAGTAATATTCCTGTCACTCAAAGCCTTTTCTTCTGATTTTTTACCTTTTCTAAAATTTATTTGGTCAGAAATACATATTATGACATTTAGAAGTAGGTTTATAAAAGTAAATGTTTCACAATATCAAATATAACAGTAATAGTCATGTTTGAGTGGCATAAAAGGTTATTCTACCAGGTTAATGTTTACTGAGGGAATTAGAGAAACAATGACTCATTAGTTTAATTCATTGCTGAAACGAAGTACTTGATCAATGTGAACAGGTACCTAAGAGTTCGATGTGAAATAAAGTATATACCCACTGTTTAATTCATTATTAACAGCTATACAGCCTGTTACCTTAACATCATACATTTGTAATGTTTTATAATTAGATGCCAAGGAGTGCTTTGTCCAAAACACTTATTTAAAATGATCATGTAGCAAAAAAGATAAATAATGAACCAGTGTGGGTGGATTGCTTTGCTCTCTCAGTGTTAATGGCTTCACAAAATGAATGATAAATCATGTTAAAATACTCAAATTTCTCCCAATTCCTCTGGCTCCCCAGTTCTCAGGAACAGGGTGGGGTGGGGGTGGGGGGTGGCAGTATTGTTTTTCATCCTCATATTTCTTTGTTCTTTAACTTCACTGACTCCAGATGTCTGAAAGAAAACAGCTGGCAGTTCAATCCACGGTGTTTTAACAGGCGCTGCTCTCCTAATGTTTATGGTAGAGGTGTAAATCTAGAGGGTTGGGGACACGTTTCCTCTGATTTGGATCATTCCTGTTCTGACTGCTGAAGTTAATATTTCTTAGATTCTGGAAGTTTGACCCTTTTCTGAACATGGTGTATTTTATGTTATAAGCAGAGATAGATTTCCTTGTCATTACTGGCCATTATTAACAAATCATCCTCATTCTTTCAGCAATAAAGTGTCATTTGGACCTGTCTTCTGTCGGTTGCTGTAAATTTGATTGTGTAATATATTCTGCATTTGCTGGGATTTATAATCAGTGTTTATAAGAGACAATGTTAGGACCCACCCAACCAGGCAAACATTGAGCACATCTGAAGGTTCTCAGCAGAATCTTAGGGATGGGTTCTGGGCTTCAGAGTGTTTGCCCATGGTCAGACCTGAGGGACTCAGAGGGCATCATTACAAGCATGCACAAACCTCTACATTCAGTATTTGGTTTATTATTAGCTACATTATATAGGGACATTTGTTCCATTATTGTTGCATTAATGTAATCCCAAAATTAAACTTTGAAGAACATCTTAATCAAAAAATGGTTTTCAGGAGTAACTTTTCAGGAGTAAATTTTTTTTTGTATTTTAAAATTGCATTTTTATTTTCTTCAATTTTTTGTTTTATAAAACCTGTATTTGTAACAGAGTTTATATTTAAACTTCTATTTTTCATATTGAGTTTTATGAAGTCCAAAATAAACGCCCACTCTTGATATACACATTGACCAATACAATGTTCTTACGAACCTTGATGCAGACCAATAGAAATTAATTCCAGTGGAAACTCCGCCCCCAAAAATAAAGAGAATGTAATGAGTACAGTAGCAGCCATTCAAAATGGCCCTTCCCAGTCAAAAGCCAACCGGATGGCAGCCCACTTCCCTGCAACTCCCAGCAAAACCCCCTCCAACTTCCCACTCTTGCATTTTTTTTTTATTTTGACTCCACCCTTTTACTGAATTACAGGGTTTAATGTCAACAAATCATGACAGAGAATATTTTAGTACGTAGATTGATATTTAAAAAGGAATTGTAGGGGACCAGCCAAGGACCAACCAAGGGCCCATCAAGGAAAGAGGGGAAATTTTGAATGGCTACTAGTATAATTGTATCGGTATTGTATTTTCTGCAAATATCATTTAAATAAACATGTTCTTAGTTCGCAACCAGAATTCGCTCCCTACTTTCTTCACATGCACAAACCTTCATGACTGGATTGAAATGTACTCCGATGAAAAAGAGCAGAAATCTGTCAGATGTAATTGTTTTTATAGACAACTAATCGGAATAAAACAGTAGTAATAGTAATAAAAGTGTGTCATACCAACAGGCCAGCTGGGTTATTCTAATAGCATCTAGCAAATCAAGGTGGAAGTTTGTCCCAATGACACAAGGTGCACATGTACTCTCAGGTCAGTTTGCTTTGTGTTGGATTACAGTGTCATTGTGATCCTGCTGAATCCAATCTGAATATTGCAACTGGTAGCTTCCTGTGACACATTTCCAGTCTTTACTTCTGCCCATATAAATGTAGGTGCTCTGGGATCAGCATGTAAAGCGTGTAGAGGTGACTGTTAGCAACAATAGCGGCTAATCTCTTGCTTCTTTGGCGTATGTAGGTCAAGAGAATTAGAAGGAGGACTTTCTTAACAGAACCCATGTGCAGTTAGAAGCTTGAAAAAAAAACTAATCGCTCAGTGTGTGATGCATTGTTCTTTTAAGCTCCATTGCTGCGATGCGGCTGCTATGTGTGAGGTCCTTTAATTCCTCAGACTGCAATAAAAACCTTAAGGACGCAAACAACTAATGCAGGTCAACAACAAAACAAGCAAAAACTCAACAGAGATTCTATGTTTTTAGTAAAAAAAAAAAAAAAAAGAACGTTTTCTTTAATTTTGTGCTTTATTTCTTCAGACTGTTCAAAACCTGTAAATTCACAGCTGGCTTTAAATATATGGAAAGACTGCAAAAAATGAACTGCTGTGCAGTTATGAATATAAAGTCATAACATTATGGCAATAAAGTGATCATATCAGGTCTACAAGAAAAAAGTTGTATGGTAAATAGAAAAAAATCATACCTTTATGAGAATGAAGTTGTAATGTTACTAGAACTATATGATTATGAGATTTTAAAGGCAGCTTATCCTAATATGTTTTCCTTCTGATAACGTTGCACTTCTCAGGCTGCTGTGTGGATGAACTTGGTTGATAACTTTATCAAAGATTTCATCTGATTAGAAACCATTTTCTTGTCTTATGATATTAAGTTTCAACTTAATAGTATCGCCGCTATATACTTGTAAGTATAATGACTTTCTTTTCCTAGTATTAAAACTTGATTGTTGTTATATTACAACGTTATTGTGCTTATAAATAATAATAACAATGATACAGGGCTCTGCACTTAATTCCGCGTGAATGGGTGTGAAGTGCTTCGGTCAAGTCTTCTGACATGAATAAGTCCTACATAAATACAGGCTTTTTATCCTTTATGTGTATCTAAATTTACCACCTTCTTTTTAAGTCCAACTGGGTTTAGCCGTCCTGGAGGTGACAGGGTTGCAGGATGGTCCTTATCTCATGGGAAGCAGACCTTGATTTTCTTACAGTGCTTTTGATGTTTTTCTCCTGCTTGATTACTACAAAACTGCCAGTCTTAAACTGAGGTCCAAGGATAAAGGCTAAAATCTCATATTTCTTGCTCTTCTTGTTTATTAAATCTCAATTTATTTGCATAAAACTTATTTAAGTTCTATAACTGCCACTTTAATCTCTGCTTTTGTTTTAATGTTTTCTAAATGTTATCTTGAGCCCTACATGGATTTTTTGAAATTCACTCCGTATTTTCCTGTCAGAATGACTGATGTCACTGTTTCACTGCTGTTCTAAAGCAAATAATTAGAGGACAATAAATAAAGACGTTTTAAATTGTGTGCATCTAAATCATCTATGGAATATGGATCTCTACACAAAAAAGGAGTTGGTAGTTTATGTTGTATGTGATGTAAAGTTGAAATGTTGCCACTTGGATTCAGAAACAGCCGAGGAGATGCTGAGGAGAACATTCCTTTTGTACAATCATCCGATCTATTGTTGCACATTTAAATGTTTTCTCACATGAATCAGGAGCTGATCCTTTGGCAAAACACTGAATCAGTATCTGTCTACATGCTTTAATAGCTTAAACCAAACTGACAAAACTGGATTATAGATATCTGGGTTTTGCTCTACATCCTCAGAGGTTATCTCCATGGGTGGGCTTGAGGAAGATCAACGTGTCCTACTGGGGCTGGGAGGATACATCACCGTTTACCAACACTACTCTGCGTTGGTTACCCGGGGAGCCCAGTGACTCGGGATTCTGTGCCTACTTGGAGAGGGTGGAGACGGCCGGACTGAAAGCCAACCCCTGCACCGCCACCACAGATGGCCTGATCTGTGAAAAATCCGCCGGTGAGCACCACGTGTGTCTAGAAGCTGTTTACCATTTCAATTTTCACTCTATTCTAACTTATAGAACTGTCCGTATGTCCTGTTGCTCAGGGAGTCCTCAGAGTCAAAATGCTCGTCCTTGTAAGACGCCCTGCGCTCTGCGGACCACCTGTGCCAACTGCACCAGCCAAGCCATGGAGTGCATGTGGTGTGGAAGCACCCAGCGCTGCGTGGACTCCTCAGCATACATCATCTCTTTCCCCTACGGTCAATGTATGGAGTGGCAGACTCAAGAATGCTCCGGTGAGGTTTTGGTTTTAATTCCTTAAAATTAGCTTTGTCAACTTTTAGCAGTATGTAGTAAAATTTGTCCAAATGGTTTCTGGATGTCAATTGATATTCGTTCAGTAGCTGCACACAAAACACAAAAAGCGAATAGATATTCAAAAAGTGTTCATATCAAATATCTAGCGCAAGTAGCGTAAAGTATGAGTAATAATTGGACTGAAAAAAATTACATGTAAATAATTTCTTTATACATTTTGATAGATCCAAAATATATAAATATGTTCCTTTGGTTTCAATTTCAATGTCAACATTAAAGGATTCCGCACAAACAGGATGATAGGAGCTGAGCCATTCCCAGATCCTAGGAGCTTCGTAATAGATGTGAAAAATAGTTTATTTTCAATTCTACATTTCTGAGATTCAAGCAGAAAAACAAAGAAGCAAAACAACTGCTTAAGCTTTTAATCCTTGGTAGCGACTAAAAGGGATCCATGATTGGTTGTAGCAGTAGACTTTGAGAAATATTCTGTTTTCATGATAAATGATGTATGCTAGCTCCTATAGCGGCAGCACATTTCAGCCCAAAACAGAAATGAGTAGCGGGAAATCCTCTCAGTCTTAACTGGACCTCCTTGAAATTGGTAAGATTGTTGGAATCACGAGAGGTAATGAAAGTTAAAGAGGACCAAACAAAGAAGGAATGATATAGGATGGGACAGATGGACCCAGTATTCAAGGTGAGCCAGTCAGTAGGAAAGTTCAAATCGTTTATTAAAATAAACAAAACTGAAACAAAGCTATGGAGCTGAAGATGGGGCGCAACCCATTGCTGACTCTCTGGAGGAGAAGCACAGGTAAGGGACCACGATAATCTGACAGGAGGTGATAACATGAGTGAGTCACTTAGCTGGTTTCACAGTTCAGTCCATCTCCTTGGAAAGGGGTGCGATCTAGCCGATGGGCTGCCAACCAGACGTGGTGTGCATCGCCCAGACTTTCCCAGATGCTGCAGCCCCGTATGACAAGCCTGAAACCGATCCAGGTCAGGCGAAAACAGAGCAGGCAGTAACAGTTCAGAAATCCAGGAATCCTCAGCTGATCAGAAGTTTCGATCCAGGAACAGAAGGAAACAGGCTTCCAGGAATCCTCAGAGTGTGAAGGCTGGTTCAGAGTCAGACGGGACCAGACGCGTGCTCAGACAGACATGCACAGATGCAGACAGGCAGGCTCAGTGGTTGAGAGACAGAGAGAAGACCTTGGAGCCAGGCTTACGGGAATAAAACTGATCCTCGCCGCATTCTGAGCCAAAACCCTGAGGGCTCCGCCGAGAAGGACCAGGAGACAAAACAAACAGAAAAAAACCTCTCAGTCCGCTGGCCACCAGGAACCAGGACACGAACAATGGAATAAACTAAACTAATTAAACAGACAAACTTACAGGCATAAACAAGCAGACAGTAAACAATCATCTGGCCTTGATAGCTGGGCTGGACCGAATATAAAGGAACAGACGCAGGTGGATGAGATGAGTGACACATAAAGACCTGGCAGAGAAAGGCAGATGAGTGAAATGAACAATTAAGGCCAGCTATCAGGGCAGATGATGACAGAGAAGGGAGGATTTGTAGAAGAAGCTGGTGTCTGTGCAGCTGCTGTAGGGAGATGCTAACCCAGATGCAGAACTACGTATGCTACAAAGAGCTCTGATTTCTAACTGAGGCTGTCTACAGCCTGCTGAGACAAAGCATGAGAGTCGGGTAAAGATTTTAACAGGTTTATTTGCCAAATGAATAATGGACATAAACAAGGAAAAAACCATGGAGAAAAATGTGCTCTGTAAAGCCATGGAAAAGGTTGAGTATGTGGTTCAACCTTGATGTGATTAAGGTTGATTGCTTTTTCGGGAAAGATAAATGAAGGGTCTGGGAGTGTTTAGGTTTTACAGGGAGGATTTCAAAGGTGAGGTAATTTTTATAGGAGCACACTGGAGAGCAGAGAGCAGGTTTGGTTCGTGATCTGGTGAATTTGGAGGAGTCAGGACTACGAGTCAGGCAACTTTGACTGAATTGTGGCCGGTGGGGTCCAGAAATCAACTCAGTTGTCAGATGAGAGATACTGAAGAACTCCAGAATAACCTTGAGTAAAAACAGAAGGTAAGTTTCTGAAAATTTGATCCCAGGTGCAGCTTGTTACATGGCTGCACAGCCAACTGTACTCCATGAGGACATCTAGAGGAGAAAACCAGGATCAACACTGCATATCCAAGATCCCACCAGTACCTGCCCTCAAAGGCAACCTCCTGGCAGCCCAGATGATGTTCAATTTATTTCAATTTAAACAACTGTATCTATCGTCCAAAAAATGGCAATTCAGTATGCAGCTCTCTCTGGTCAACATAGCAGTAAATCAAGAAAAATAATACATCATTAAAACAATGACACAAGTTAGTCATCAATTAATGACGGATCGCAGATAAGAGAGCAAGGAACCAAACAGCCTTTCAGTGCGCCAATTACTGCCAACCTCTATGTCACTTAAAGGGAGTCCAAAATCCTTCTAACCTAGTAGACTGAGTACCCCTTGAAGACACAGGTGGGTGGAGAAGGTCCAGCTAGAGTCCAAAGTGACCTGTTCTGGGCGGGTTTGATCTAAGAGACATGGAAAGTGGGACAGATATGGAAGGAGGAAAGAAGTTTGAAGCAGACTGCTGTGGTACTTATACTCTTTTTTATAAGGTCCGATGTATCCTTGAGCTAATTTCTTGGAGCCAGATTTGAGGGATATCTTGAAATGAGAGCAATACCTTTTGACTAGGAAAGTATTGGGCAGAGATTTGAGTGTCCTATGCATGCTCTACCCATGCTTTATACTTATGACAGTGTAATGACGATAAAGTTGTTTTTTTTTTGCGGCACTAGTGGCTTGTTTTTTCTACAGTACAATGACAGGCAAGGGGGTATGAGAGAGAGGGAGAGACATGCATCAAAGGACCACAGGCCAGATCCAAACCCTGGTTCAGGCCTCTGCACATGGGTCGTGCACGCCAACCACTGCGTCACCTGCACTCCTGAATGACAATGAAGTTGAATTCTATTCTATTCTATTCTATTCTACTTTTTACAGTTAAAGGTGTTATCAGAGGTGGGACAACTGAGGGTTGGTTCCAGTTCTTGGTTCTTCTTTAGCTTGGTTGTTGGACTGAGGATGTAACCAGATGAGAGAGAAATCATATCACAGTGAGCAAAACTAAATTGCTTCCATAATTGAATTGTGAGCCTTGGTCAGACACACAGGTTTGAGGAGTCTAAAAGGCTGAATGGAAGTCTTTTGAGGGAAATCAGTTGATGCTATCAATTATGATGAGAATGACAATTATACCGTGTGCAGGAGGGAGTCAGATGACAAGGTTGAAGGTGTTGTACGACCAGAGTGATTTAGGAATGGAGAGGGGTTAAGTAGACCAGCAGGAGGACGGAGAAATGGTTTGTTTCTGGCAAAACTGGAGAGGGCTGAGGTATACTGTAGCTTCTAAATCTTTGTGGGACGGCCACCAGAATTAGTGGGGAAAAAAAGTGGTCAATAGACTGGTATCAGAGGAAGCAGAAGACTTGGCAGAATGGAACCAGTGAATGGGGCAAGATCAGACTAAAGAAGAAACATATGTGTTATTAGGAGAACAATTTCCAGGGTTTGGCTCAGACTGTACAGTTTGATGAACAATGTTTTCAATGTCCCGGTTAAAGGAACCAATGACACAGGAGGATTGAAGGATGGTGGCTTAGGTCTTCTCAAAAGGCCATAAGAGTTTAAGAGGTTGAAACGCGAGAAAAACAAAGACAAAAGGGACTAGCAGGGATTTAAGAGTTTGGCTTATTGAAGGTAAGATAAATTCTTATGGTCGGTCCAGACCAGCAGATGATGTTTAGCAATCCTTCTTCCCGTGACGCCACTCTTTTAGAGCCAACTTAATGGAAAGAAGTTGTTGGTATCCTACATTATAATTTCTTTTACTATTAGAGTGCTCTCTAGTAAAAAGGTCACAGGGGTGCAGTTTTTCATCGTCACCAAAACATTGAGACAAAACTGCACTCCAGTGTCTTATGTATCATCTTCATGAATTAACTGTTTTAGAGGATCTAGCTGCACCAAAATGGGAGCGTGGAAGTTCTTCTCTTTTAAGGAAGTAAAAGCAGCCTCAGCTTAAGGTGTCCATACAAAAGGATACTGAAAATGGCCCAAGGGGGTTTAACTTGGTTTTCCATTTGTCCCTTTGCCGAATCCTTACCATGTGGTAGCCATTTCTGAGGTCTAATTTGATTAATACTTTGGGGCTGGTTAGAAAACGGAGAGAAAAAGGTATATGGTATTTTGTTTTAACTGTTATTTGGTTCAGTTCTCTTTATTCAGTACAGGGTTGAAGGGAATACTCTTTTTTGCTGTCTAAAAAGAGTCCTGCCCCTAGAGGAGAGGAGGACTTGCAGATGAGATCTGTGGTTAGAGATTCCATAGCCTGTCTTTCAGGTCGACAAGTTATAGAGTTGGCAGATGGGTAGTGGGGTGCCTAGAAGAAGGTTGATGGCACAGGCATAAGGTCTGTGGGGTGGCACTGATGAAGCTTTGCTCCTACTAAACACCTTTTTTTAGATCATGGTCCTAGTAACTGATCAACTTGCTCCGCCTTATCTTGGGGTGTCGGAGAAAGATTTGGCAGAACAGAAGACTGCAGACAGAGGAGAAACAGTTAGGTGACCATGATTTCACAGGTAACAAGGTAGACCAATTTTGACCTGGATTGTCTCGCAATTAAAAACCAAGAATAATGGAGGAAGGAGGAGATGGGAAAAAATAATAAAATAGTTTAAAGGAATAGAGGGTGATCTTATATTTCCTGGTGGATCATCTGAATCAGTGGTCCTAACCGTCATTCATTCTGGTGATATGTTCACGTAAGGCTGTCCTATGTTCTCGTCCCTTTAACTATCTTTTCCTCTGCAGTTGGACTTTCAGGCTTATAT